AGTAGTATTAGTATTGGTGGTAGAAGTGCTATCGGCGGTATCACTGTATTGGTGACCATTGTGTTCAGTATCAGTAGAAGAATGAAGATGTCTGTTATTATCAATATAGGTATTAATACTCTTGTTGTTATTATTATTATTATTATTATTATTATTATTATTATTATTATTATTATTATTATTATTATTATTATTATTATTATTATTATTATTATTATTATTATTATTATTATTATTATTATTATTATTATTATTATTATTATTATTATTATTATTATTATTATTATTATTATTATTATTATTATTATTATTATTATTATTATTATTATTATTATTATTATTATTATTTGTAAAAAATAAGATCATTCTAATTTTTTTTACCAAACACTTTTAAACAACTTATAAGTTTTTAAACATCTTATAATATGTTTTTCTACTAGATGACCTTATTTGTCTATTTTTTATTTATTTATTTCTTATATTGTTTTAAGGAAGATAATTAGTGGTCTTCCAATTCTCGGTGTCAATTCGGATCGTTTACTTCATTCAAAAGCAAACCCTAAGAAGTAGTTATGGGTCGTCTTGCCGCTAAATTGTACTTCAAGCTTCTGAATATTTTTTTCAATTGTCTAATACTTTGAATTAATTTTACTTTTGAGAACCACGAAAGTCAACGGAATTATGTGAACTATGAATATCCATGTAAGAAGGTTAGAATGCATTTTTATTAACAAAATAAAAAATGAGAAAATAAATAAATGAGAAAATAAATAAATAAATAAATAATGAATTCGTTGAAATTAAAGTTGAACAAATTGTGGTCGTTGGAGTCTTGGTCAACAGGACGTGTAATTAAAATGCATTAAAATTAAATAAAATGAAATAATGTTTCCTTGTACCAAAAGGCGAAACCCCTCGCCCCCAGGGCCCTTTTCCCTTGGCCCGACAAGGATTGATGGAGGAATGTAAATCATGGTAACTCAACGGCCCGTTAAGGTAGCGGACCCGGACCTGGTGCCCACAAGGAACCATCTCATTGGAGTTGAAATTCCCACACTGCGGCTGTCAGGATTCGATCCTAGGACCTTGCACCAACTTACCACCTCCGGAACCAGTTGAGCTACACCCATGCGGGCGAAATATTGTTTCCTAACTACATTGCAGTCGACAAATGCGCATTTGTTCCTTATCTTGTTTTCATCATGTCGAAGTGGGATAATTACAGTTTTGACCCCAAGTTTGTACATATTTCACTTTTAGTCCTCCATTAGAAGTCTTTAATAAAAAATATTGTGATGTTGCCACATTATAACACATTAGTCCATCTGTCTGTTTGGCCGTCAACAAATAACGGTCAACGGTTCCATTGGGGTGAATTTGTGATTTTTCTTTGGGAAAATTGCAAATATTATTTTAAAACATTCTAAAAACTCTTAAAATTTCATCCAAGCCTTATTTAAACTTAATTTCACCAAGTAACCAATTTTGACAAATGACCCCAAATTTTACGCCTATTTTTACTGTCGTTGATTTTTATTTCTAAAAAATATTTTTATCCCGAGGTTCACTTTCTTTATAACTGGGTTCAGTTTTTCTTATTGATTTTTTTACCGCCGTTAACCAATGTTGAATGTCGGTCAATTGCTGACTTTTAATTTTTTTTTTTTTTTTGAAATTGTCGAGTATTGGGGAAAAATAATTTCACAAAAAAGGAGTCAAAAAAACAAAGAAGGAAAAAGGAATGGCGCTCAACGACGAAAAAAAAGTCCAAAAAAATTCACGGCCGTTGTTGGCACCAAAAATCGATGTAATGGGAGTGGTGTCCTCCTTTTCAAATAAATCCGCACATGCCTAATTCATCCTTTTCATATTTTTTGAGAAGCACTGTGGGATGCATATGCGGTTCCACGATGAGAAATTTGAGAGGAAGAAATTAAGAATTTTTAAGAATTCTTTAAATTGTACTTTGGTCCTAAAATTTTAGATAAAAATTTGTTAGCATTTTCAAATTTTAATATTACGATGCTAGACAGTAATAAAGTAATATTATTGTATCCTATAGTAATAATTAATAATACTGGGTTGGTCAGGAAAATAATTAAAAAAGAAAAAGTAAAAACAAAATTAAGAGAAAGAAAAAAGTCAACACCATTAACCAACTATTAAACATCGGTGAACGGCAACAACAATAAATAATTAAAAAAAGACCAACGTTGAAAAAGAAAAAAAGAATGAAATTCAATGACGGTCATATGTGGCGGTGGTAAAAATTGGGATCATCAGGCAAAATTGGTTAATAGATGAAATTGAGATTAAATTAGAGTTGGATGAAACTTTTAGGGATTTTTAGAAAGTTTTGAAATAATACAGAAGTCTTATTGTGATTTTCTCAGAAAAATCTCAAATTCAACCGGTGACCGTTTCTTGTTGACTGTCAAACAGACGGAAGGAATTAATGTGTTAAAATATCGCAATATTAAAGTGTATTTTGTTGACGACGGTAAATAGGAAACTAAATATATATATATATATATATATATATATATATATATATATATATATATATATATATATATATATGGGAAAATGAGTGATAACCCCCTAGTTTTGAAAATATATATGAGGAGGCCCAATAAATTTTTCTGTCCTAGTTAAAAACCCAAATTCTAAACTTAATTAATGAGACCCCCCTAGACAACTTGAAGTACCTGTTTTACCCTTTTAGTTTTTATTCAATACACAAACCCTAGCCACCTTCTCTCTTCCACTCACGTATCAGCCGTTACAACTTACAACTCTCTCACTCTCTTCATCTCTCACTCAATCTCTCTCTCTAA